ACTAAAGCTAATAACACTCAGTTGCAGTTTTGTGAATAACCCGTCCATACGACTATTTACCCAGTTGTCCAAACCTTTTCAACTCACCTAAGTTATGTTCTCTTAGGGAAACTATGCTGTATCTGGAGGTCTTAAAGGAATCGAAGCAGTTGAAGCAAAGGCGAAATCATTCAAGGCCCGAATGACAGTAAAACCCTTTCCCCCCCTAATCTGGGTGTGCTCGCTTTTCTGCAGCTTTCATGCTTTTTGACATTATAATGAATTAAACTTTTTGTTAGGTTCGGTTAGCTGTGGCCGGTGCATTCCACACCGGTTTTATGGAACCAGCCGTTTCGAGACTAGAAGATGCTTTGGCATCAACAGTAATCAAAACCCCCAGAATACCTGTTATCTCAAATGTAGATGCCGAGCCGCATGCAGATCCAAACACCATCAAGAAAATACTTGCTCGTCAGGTAATAATAATAATAAACAACACAGACTTTGTCGGTTTTGCCCTCAAGACCACAACTGTGCAAACTATACCTTATTGCTTTATGTTTTAAATTAAACCCACGAAACTTCAGGTGACTTCTCCAGTCCAATGGGAGACAACGGTTAAGACTTTGTTGAGCAGAGGACTGAAAAAGAGCTACGAGTTAGGACCTGGAAAGGTATGAATGAATTTCTTTCTGACGTTTAAGTAAATATTGCTCGTTTAATATATCTGACGTTGAGCAAATTGTTTTCCGTGTTCCAGGTCATAGCTGGCATTGTCAAAAGAATGGATAAAGGTGCTGTTATTGAGAATATTGGCGCGTGACACATCGTGAAGGTTCTTAGCACTATAGCTGGTTTGATGCTTTCGTGAGGTTTTTCTTGTCAGATGAACTTGTTCTTCAGTTTGAGAATAGGAGCTTCATAGTTTATGATTGTGTGTGTGTGTGTTTGGGTTATTTGCTTGTATTTGTAGCTTTCAGTGTTTTAGAATAGGTTTAATTACAGTACCAATGAGCAAGGCGGAAGGAAATAATGCCAAGCAATTGTTTCTGAATTTGTAAGACATTGTTGAGGTCAAGATATGGGATTTGACAATTTTATACCCTAGTTTTACATACCAATTATTTATAACTACTATTCTAGTATTTTTATGTTATGCCAACTTTTATATTACATATTATTTCATATGTATTCACAAGTTCAAAATAATTCATTCAACTAAAAAAATTATCACGACAATATCTTTAAAGTAATTGCAACCTTAATAATAGCCATTTGAATTATGCTCCCCAAACACAAACTTAATAAGAGTTGGTTTTGATTGGATAGACAAAGTATAAAATTAATTATTAATAAGTGAAAAAAGAGGAACAAACACGGTAAACTAATTAAAAATAAAATAAACTAGAAATACAAGAGTAGCACAAGCATTTCATCGAACAGTTGGCAGGTAGAACACCGAATTTTTCTTTTTAAAGCTCAATGATTAATTTGAAGTAGAAGGTACAGTCCTCAATCCCCGGAGCCGTTTTCTCCAGCAGCCGACCACAGACGCCGTTATCATGGGGCAAAGTTGTTCCTGCGTTCATTTTTCTCGGCCGTCGCAGCCTTCGAGCCGGAACACCCAAATTTGATAAGCATAAAAGCAATTTATAATAATAAATAATAACTTTCAATAAAAAATTATACTAGTATTTTTTTCCAGAATGATGCAAGGGGAAATACAAAAAATACAATGCACCAGCCGGGAATCGAACCCGGGTCTGTACCGTGGCAGGGTACTATTCTACCACTAGACCACTGGTGCTATTGGTGGCGGAAAAGCCGTTAATAATATAGATATTTTACAATTTTAACACCTTATCCTTATACCCACAAATTACTAAAATAC